CTCAAGATGCGGTAGATGGGGATTTTAAAGACCGTGGTGATTCCAGTCCGTGCCTTTAATTTTCTTTTGGCATCCTCCGCTGCATCACGGGAGTGTCAGCTTGGTCGTTTCGGCAGCCCTTGTTTCTGTCATCACGGTTTGAACCATGGCGCTGATCTTTTGACCGGCTGTTTGGGCGGTTATCCTCCTGCCCAACCGAGTAAACTTTCCCCGCCACCCTTCTATCCGCCGCGGCCGAATTAGCCTTCTCGATCGCGGAGGCGGCATCATCCTCCACGCGAATGTGCTCATTGATCCGCTACATCAACGACTCCATGGTTGTGGGTTGATGCATCGTGAGTGAATCTCGCAGCCTATGTCCGACTGGGAGACCCCGTTTGTATTGAGTGATCGCCAGATTGGTGGGGCAGTCGAGGATCTCATTGTAAGTTTCCCAGTATTTCGCATTGTATGCCTTCAACGAACATCCAGACTCCATCTTGACGCCCAGGAGATGGTCGACCTCCTTCGGCGTTCGTGTGTTGGTTTTGAATCTGGTAACGAAGGCTTCCGCTAGTTGCTGCCACCCCGCAATACTCCCCTCCGGGAGCCTTTCGAACCACTTCAAACCCAGCTCTCCCAAGCTTGCTGGGAATATGAGGCACATCAAGGCGTCGTTGCGCCGGTGGCCAACCATTACTTGCCGGTAATGGCTCACATGCATGTACGGATCCGTCTTGCCGTCGTACAAAGTGAACTTTGGCTGTTGGAATCCGGCGGGGAGTGGTGTACTCTCAATCTCTGGAGACAGCGGCGTAGCTGTAAGTCGCGCCAGCTCTTTGTCCACCAACGCAGGGGCTATCGCTTTGGGGGCTGGCATCGCCACTTCCTCACTACAACGAACTGGAGCGCTCAACCTCTGCAATGCCGGCACTCTCTGAGCCTCCCGGCGGCGCGCCCTCTCCTCCAATACATCCCTCAAGTCCCTGGAACGTGTGGAGAAAGAGGATCGCGACGTCGGCGTCGGGCGTGAGGGGCGGTAAATGCTGTCGCGAGAGAGGGACCTGCCCTCTCTTTGGTCGGAATCTCCAACCCCATAGTTCCTGGTGATGGAGAGAGAGTGAGTCCTCCCCTGGCGGCGACTGCTACAACGAGGGGACGGGGTGCGCTCACTGAGGTTGCCCTCTCCAGCAACACCCTTCCCTTTAATCTGGCGTTTCAGCAGCTCCATCTCCACCACCATCTTGCGAATGAGGGCATCTTGGTCCTTGAGTTTGTGCTCCAGACGCTGCGCATGGGACTCCCCCCTGCGTGGGCGGCCCTTTGGACTCTACGAGCGATCAGTACTCCTCCCGCGTTTGTCTCGCGCACCTCGTGAAGAAGTCTCTAGGCCCGCCATGGCTGGAATATTCAGGGGGCCTTCTCTCAAGCGGACATACTCAGGTGTGACGCCATCGACGACGGACAGTGGGGCTTCGCCGTTGTTGGCCATGGAATGGTCGAGGAAGCTCAAAGAACAAGGGTTGAGTATCCCACAGACGGCGCCAATTGTACGGGGCGAAATATCCTCTGTTTTCCGTACTCCTTGTATTCCAAGCTTCTCTTGACGGCGTCTACCTGGCAACACAGAAACGGTGAGCTGCCCGACGGTGATGTGCCGGATAGACCCTCCGACGATCAAGTCAGTCCACTTGAGGAAGAAGAAGACTGTTAGAGAGAGAGTATTCTCTTTGGAGAAGAAGTTGCATACCTCTAACGTTCACCTTCCTCCACTATTTCTAGGCTGGCCATGCAGCCCCAAGATCGTGCGCGCACCACCTCTGTTGTCCTTCCCTGGACAAGTGGCAGTGCTTGCCTCCCACCACCTTACGCGTGTAAAGATTTCGTCCTCCAACCAGTACATGCGGAACTGTCAAACGGTATTGGTGCGTGCGTGGAGCAAATGTCCTCTTCCTCACACCATTAGCCCAGGTGGCACACTTAACCGGAGTACCACGACCAGCTGGTTCCTTGTGGAGAATTGCCTCCTCGAACACATAATCGAGCTAAAGAACGCCGACCTGCCCCTTGGCAAAGGGGCCAAAGTGTTATGCTCATGGCCGGGCTATTTATGATCGATCCCACCTGACTGAACGGCCATGAAGCACGCTGGACTTCCACCGTTCTTCATTCTTGATCACATGAAGCCCGTCCATCTCGGCCGATCAGTTAGGCGCATGCCGACGCTAATCGCATCTCAAATCCAGTCTGGGCTGCTCTTAGCTTGGTCATCAGACACTGCTGCGCACTCGGCCGCGTCATAGCTCGGCCAGGCATTGGTTCGTGTCTGGCCGGTCGACCTCTCCGGCTGTGCAAGTCAGGCCGCTGGGCCGAGCAAGAGAGGAGTCTGCTCGGCGGAGTGCGGTTCGTCATGATCGGCATTATCGTAGCTCGGCCGTACTAACGCGCAAATCTCCCCTCTCAGATAGCTTTCTAATGAAGCAAAGCAGAAATTATCTATATTATGAATAGGTAAAATTCAAGGCATTCATATGCTAACCATATAAGAAACTGTTGAACAAGAAGCTGCATGTACAGGACATATTTCAGGCCACACAAGCATTGAAAATTATGTTTTTTCTCATTTTTCTACATTTCTATTGAACAATTTGTTTCTGATAACCGTTACAATGAACTCATTAGTTCCTTGCAGTAATGTAAACGGCAACAAAGAATATCATTTGGTTTCCAAGTTAACTAGATGGTAGTATTTTTTTACTGTTTCACACACACACACATACACAAGTCATGCCTTACATCAGTGTCTGCAGAAGTTTTCATACTTTCACATTCATGTCAAAGAAGTGAGTAAAAGCTTTCCAATATTTCATTAATATGCTAGCAAAAGCTAAGAAACTTTATGTTTTCCTAATTATTTCAATCGAACCTCAATTTTCAGCCACATTATGCTCACTCGTGTACATCTACATATTTATGTATTGAAGTACATCAGGTACATGCAAGATAAGTACATTAGATTACGAAGAAACTATTCAATGCTTCGAGCACTAAGGATTTCAGAGCTTATCCAATTTAGGGCTTTTGCCCCAATCAATATGTACTCGATGTCTTAATTGTTACTTGTTTGTTCAAACTCTTCTAGCCCACATCAATGTTTACAGACATAAGAAGTATCCATTATTCCCCAATGTCTCTCAACCAAGGTTTTGATAAGCTGTTGCGATCGTTGTAACGGTTATGGTGGCGCGATTGCGGTTGTGGGATGTAAAGGCCGTAACGTAACGGTTGCGATAACCAGAACAGTGATTTTTTTTTTTTTTTTGCACAACTTGAAAAAAAAAATTACCGATACGCATATTTATTTTTTTTTAAATCACATTTATTGGGATTTAAAATAGATTTTGATCAATTTTTGTTAGTTTTTAACTATGATCCAATATATTTCATATTTTTAAATCACTATAAAATGAGCTTTTTATATTTTATTTCAATAGTAATGACTTTAAGAATAATTGATTTTAAATGTTAACAAATTATTTTTAACAAATACCTAAACTAACTAAATAAAAAATATTCACAATTATTAAATGAAATGATTATAAAAATAAAAATTATGCCATAAACAAAATTATTTTTAAGCTACCGATTTTATTTATTTTTAAAGATATTTTTTAGACAACATATTACAGTAACAAAATAAAAACTATTTACAATTACATATTAAATAAAATGATTATAAAAATAAATACAACCATTGTTTATATATTTTTTATTTTGCACGAAAATTTAATAAATTATAAAGAAAAAAAATTCATATAAGATTTTTTCTTTGGGCTTTTTGGGCTTAGATCACTTGAGTAAAAACCTTTTATTTTTTGGTTTTTTTTTTTTTTTTTTTTTTTTTTTCTTTTTTTTTTTTTTTTTTTTTGTGAGCTTTTGTTTTTTTTTTTGGAAAGAAAGCTATTCAGAATATTGTAAATGCATGTAACAGACAGTTATGGCCATTACGGTATTGCTACAGCCATTACGTAACACCAAAACAACTATTACACATGAATTTCTGTCACACCACTATAGCGGCCGTAATGAGTAGCGGTAACCACTACAACTTTTACGTAATGGTTGCAATCGCTTTTTAAAACCTTACTCTCAACATTCTACCACTTTCCAAGTGCAAGCGTCTATATAGATTTGATTGTAGCTATCGAGTTAATGATTTTGCTCAAAGACCACAGTGACATTGTTCTAGCATAGTAGTCATGGTTAAATAGTAGTATGTTATTCTGCTTTCTCTGAAGTTCAAGAACATGATTAGTCAAGCCCAAAAACAAATGGTAAACAATTTATGTATATATTTAAACTTGTATTGTATGATGAGGACACCTCCGTTCCCCTTTCGTCCCATGCTTGTGTTCGGCCTAACAAATCTCAGGTATTTGTATTAGTTTCTATTACCAAGTTCAAAGTTCTCACATCAATGAATGCTTAGACTAATTGTATTTCCTTTGAATTTTAACTAGAAAGCTTAAACAGAGCTCTCCTTCTTCAATTCCCTATGTCCCTAACATTTTCTACAATTCTCTTCAGTTTTCAGCATTCCGTATTTGATACTGAGATAGTTATTGAGAATTATGCTTTCTGAAATAGTTTTGAAAGCAAAATTTTTGTTCTGAAAGCCTCTTTTTTTCTAAAATCTTCTCTTCCTTTGAACCATTGTTTAAAAATTATCTTCAAATAAAAATCACAATTTGGACCATAGTTAAAGCTTTCTAGCTTGGAGTTTACAGACCAACATTTATATACGATAAATGTCCATTGAAGGCCCATTATCATTCTTTATCATAAGTAGTTCAATATTTTGAAATGACTACCTCTAGTTAAGCACAACCTCAAATAGAAAATTACATTTTCACCCAAAAATATATATATAAATATATATATATATATATTTGAAAGAATGGACTTTAGTAGGGTAGAAAATTAAACTTTGTTGTGATTAAAACTGATGATGCAGTATTCACCTTGGTGTCAAATTCCAGTGCAGAGATGCCCTGCCTATGGAAAAACAAAACAAACAGACAAAGAAAAATCATGGATTGGTAGAAAGATGTGCATACCATCATAAAGCAAGAGAAAAACAAATGCCCATGAATAATTTAGCATGTTAACCAACATAACAATCAAAAGAAAGGGAAGAACTAATTGTTATACAAGAATGAAATATGGACGGTAAAGAAGTCCACCAGAAGAGGACTTCTTAGACATCTAAATGCTTTACACTGTCTTTCATTAAATATCGCTCTAGTAAACCAACATTCTAGAATCCGATTCTCAAGATCCAAGAAAAATATCTGGCAACTTTGCTCCCACAACAAAGTCAAACTACTTTGTTGACACATTTAGGTTCAGAATTGACAGGTCTTATCATCCTACATTCCAACCAACTGAGCAAGTTCTGTCCAAGAGAATCCTGAATAGGTCAACCTCTAACCTTAAAGGTTGAAACATGATGTGTTGTACCACTAAGATCAATATAGATCCTAGCCTTTCTATATCAACAAAACATGCCAGGGCTGCACCCATAACATACCCTCACGTGTAACAACTTTTCACTTTGCACATTTAGTAAAGATTCTTTTCAACATATGTGATATCTTCATTGGAAATCAGAACACCAAATTGTATAACACCTGAAAGCAACTATCTAAATGAAAGTATATGTGGTTCCCTAAGCACAAGTAATCTTAGAGTCTCGATATTGGGTGTAAAAAATAAAAATAAAAAAAGTAGTTGATCTAAAAGCCACAGAGCTATACAAAGTGCTTTGAAACAAGACATGGCATGGTTTTTTGAAGTTACCAACTAGATGTACTAAACAAAATTGTGTCAAAGTTCCCATGCTTCAATACTAGAGGAAGTCACTTCTTAATTGGATCCCCAAATCCCAAAACCCAGGAACAGAAGTTCCAAACTCTAAGACAACAAGTACTATGGACCTTACTCCTGCAATATACATAGTCAATGATGTTGCAATGACACTGAAATAGTAAATGATGCTTCCTAAATTCCTACTGTGTAAAAAACCAGAGACACTCAAATCTTTCACATAACACACAGCCTGTTCTTCTTCTTCTTTTTTTTTTCTTGGCATAAAACACAGCCTGTTCATGATGTTGAGTTTCCATGAAACACATTTTGAACCAAAAACATGTCATGTATAAGCCCGCACTTCCTTGCCACTCTGCTAGTAGGTAATACTTACTAAATATTAGCTCTTTCTTATTAGGAATGGAGACCAAGATGTGATCTGCAAGCAGCATATATAATTCACTTACATTTTGTCAGCCTGAAATTTTAATCAATGAAATGCGTTCTATAATATCAAAAAATGAGGGTGATAAGGTTGCTCAATTGTGTCATGGGTTAGAAACGTAGAAACAACCTCTTTGCATGTGTGAGCAAGGCTTCGTACATGATGTGGGCCGAAAGGTACCACATTGAGGCCATCTAATTTGCATTTATAGTCATTGATATGGTTACTTGGCAAATATTATATGTTTTGTGTGTGCAGGCTTGATGGACAGTTCTCAATAGAATGGTTCAAAGGGATGGAATTAAAGAGAAATGGGTCACAGATCCTCTCAGCACAACGGCAAGACCTCCGCACGAGCAGCAGACGCAAAACAGACACCACAACACTGCTGCACCACCGCACGTGCGGCCAACTCTGCCACACGAGCGGCCATTCCCACTGCTCAAGCGGCCAAAGTTCAAAAGCTTACTGTCAAAGCTCCACTCATGCGGAGCATTTTGGCCACACCTCGAAATGCATGTGCAAAAATGGGAATTGACCTGAAGTGAACCCAAGTATAAAAGAGAAAGAAAAGAGAGAAAAAGAGTTCTTCTGTTGGTTTTGAAGAGAGAGGCAACTAGGACTAGAGATGAAGAGAACTTGCACAACCATGGTGTCCACCATCTCCTCCATTTCCTTTGTCACTTTTGCTTCTCTCCATGAGTGGCTATGCACCATACTTAGGGTTTCAATAAAACCCTAGCCAAGTAACCGGTTTTTCATATTAAGAGCTTTGAATTGTATCATTTGATTGGAATAATTGTAAGAATTTTGAGTTTTTGAATAAAAGTGTTTCTATCTTTTCTCTTCATTCAATTTTTGTGATTGTGAATGAATGTTTTACATTAGCTATCATTGTATTTGTGTTGGGAACTTGAGAGGGGCTATGCTTTGACAAGAAATGTTGTGCCACGGACTGTAGTTTAGAGTGGACAATCCGTGTCGGTTGAGATAGGTCGTGCTCTTGATTCAAATACAATATTACTCTCTTTTTCAATTTCGAACTTGTAGTTGAGAAATTGACTTATTTTAAACAATCATTTGTGTACTAAGATGAGAATCCCGGTTACAGAACTAGCAGTGAATTCGGTTCCCTAAGTTTCCATTTCATATTCTTCAATTTGAATTTTCTTGTTATTTAATGATAATCTAGTTTATTCACATAAAACGATCGATCTCAATAAACTAATTTGGGAATTAATAATTGGAATAGCTAGAATTACACAATCGTCCCTCTCGATATGATATACCCATACTCTACCACTATACATGTTTTAAAACCTTTGCGGGCAGATTGATTCACAACAATCAATACTTGTAGTGGCAGGAACCTTATGCACCTGACTATCTTTTTTTATTCTACATTATCAGTAACAACAATTAATCCTCTCAAATCAACGATAACTAGAAAAATAGAGAGGAAAGAAAGAAAGAAAGAAAGAAAGAAAAAAAAATGTGCTAAAAACATCCCCCTTTCCCCCATTATAGCAACAAGATCTTTGTCTACAGAGCCATGTGTGAAAGCTAGCGAATGAATCTTGGACAACTTATGGTAAGTTCCTTCATTATCACGAAAAGAATGATGAGAAGATATAATAGAGCTTTTTTCTTTTTCTTTTTTTAATGAGCATGAGATATTGCAATCTATAAGCAATAATCTAAAAGCGTAATCCAAAAGCGTCTCTCTCCTAGCCTCTCAATAATCAACTTTTTTTTAAGTCATATTTCCTCGTAAGTTGTAAGCAAAAGTTACACCGAACACTTTGGCATAAAGTAACAGTATAAAAGAAGTCATAAGTTGCACCAAATGGGGCATAGCACGAATTGAACAAGCAAGGATGTGAAAATTCAGAGAAGGAAAAAGTAAAGGAGAGAGGACACTAACTTTCTGAACGGCGCTGGGTTATCCATGTATGCAACATTAGCGAACCAACTCATCTGTACAAAGAAAGGAAAGAGAAAAGAAAAAAAAAAAAAAATCCCAAAATTTGCATGACTCAAATCTAGGAAATGAAAGCAATTATAATTACAATCGATAGAATTTTTAATGAGTGAATGGAGTCTCATTAAAACATGGAACCATTGAACTAAAAATTCACAATCTATTTTCTTGCTCAATATATGTTTTCTTGGCAAACAATCAGTATATATAAAATAAATATTACTAATTAAACAAAGGGAAAGCCTAAGGTGTGCACCCCCTTAGGGGTGCATATCTACCACAAATTGGCGTAACTTTACTGGAAAATTTCGTAAAATCAACCACAAAATGCGTAACTTCACCACAAATTGGCGTAACAAAATAAGCTTCAAAAAGCTTAAATTAAGATTACAGAAAAAGGCTGAGTAGTGAGCATGCATACATGTGTAGGACATTGTACTCCCCCAATGTGATAGCAATGAGCAAACAATCCAATCTTTCCCCAACCAAAAAAAAAACAAACAAACAAACAAAACAAAACAAATATGAGTTCATTTAGACCCGGTTTTAAATAATTTAACGACAAAAGTAAACCCAAAAAAACCAAATATTAGTCACGAAATTAGGAAAGGGAAATGGGAATTAAAACACCTCAGAATAGGATTGCATCAAAAGACCCGAAATGTCGTGGCGGTACTTGGGTTCGAACTTGCCGTTCAATTCAATGAGACTCCTCTTCCATCGAAACCTTTGAATCGGAAAACAAACAAAAAAACGAACAATTGCAAAAATTTATCATACTAAACATGAAAATTTAACTGAGAAAAATAATAGTCACCTTTTGATGGGTTTGGGATTTTCAGTAGGAATGATAGGAACCAGGTATCCATCCATAGAAGGATCTTTCTACACTTTTCTCTGTAAGAGCAGAATTGACGATAGGGTTGAGAATGGACTTTCCCGCCTTTTCTTAGGGCTCAGTAATCCTAGGGTGGTTTAGGGTGTTGTCCTTTTTTGATTTTTTGATAAAAAAAAATATAGAGAAAAAAATATGTACGTTTGAGATAATTTTTTAATTTTTTATGAAAAAAATATGTATTAAAATATTATAAAAAATAGTAAAATTGCTACATTATCCCTAAATATATAATTGTCTATTGTCAGTGATGGTACCGTCATGTATATGGTTGACAGCAAGATGTATAGGACCAGATTACCTACGGTGCTGTTCGGACTGAACAGTGTTATTCGGCCTGTGGGAGCCCACCATGTGTCCTGTTTTAACAATCAGAAACTATCTATTTTTTTAGAAACAAATACGATAAATAAAAGAATTATAATCATCAGATTGACATAATTTTTTATGGATAATACAAATTGAGGACTCTACAAAATGAATGATTCAAATTATCCAAAGCTCCTCAAATTCTCTTATATTGAAATGTAAACATCAGAGAAGCTTGACCCTAAAAAAATTGAAAGATTATATTCCCTTTGTCTATTTGTCTATCTATCTACTATTTATGGTGTGTTTGTTTGGATGAATTGAATAAAGGGGGATTGGAATCTATCGAATTGTAATCCTAGAATTCATAGTCGTGGGACTACTTGGTTGGATAGAATATGTATCTCATGTTTGTTTAGTCATGGGATTAGATGTTAGAAAATGACTGTTTGGTTGGATATGATATAAATCTTATGTTTGTTTGGAATATTATAGAGAAAGATAAATGCTCAAATGACTATTTTACCTTTTTCAATTATTTACTAAGTAATAGCAATATTTAATATTTTAATTATTTTTAGCTAGATTAAATAAAAAATATATTTTTTTATACAATTAAATAAATTTATTTTTTAAAAATTAAATAAATTAAATATCAATAAAAATATATGTTATTTTTTTAATTAAAATTTTAAATAAATTTATTT